AAACTTGTCGATACTCAATAAATATCAGTTACATATAAAATGGAAAAGGAATCCATTTTGCTTTTCAGTTTCGTCTAGCAATGGTATCTGAATTAGCAAATGAACTATTTCCATAACAATTTGGCAAAACTAAAAATATTTAGTGCTTTATTTTGACACTGGTAATTAAACAATAGTTGGTAAACTGACATGGCATTATTCTTATCTACGAGAAAAATATATTTTGAGTCAAATCCGTGAAATGCTTTGTGAAGTAGACAATTTGTTGGTTTCCTTTCTTCACATCTAGTTGACAGAACTAATAGTTATCGATTCTCAGTTTGACTCTCTGTGGTTCAAGGGACTTTCATCATTGATACTAGGTGATCATTAAAGGTGAAATGAAAATTTGGGTCCCTGCAGGCCAGATGACCAATCAACTAAACTATGAGACCCAACTGCTGACCGTATTTTAATTTCATTCCAATCAATAAGAATTTTGCACGACTGTCATGTGAATTCGTGATGCTATATTATCGATTAATCGTAATCATACTGATAACCCCGGCTGAGAAATTACCACGGAGCAAAACTTTATTTCACCTTCAAACATCTATACCCCAGTAACTATAGGCTCGCTGAATAAAAACATGAAAGTAAACTATACTGTACTAAAGTATAATTTGATGTCGTAATAACAAAACTGTATCTCCTTATAAAAGATCTATCAAAATAAAACTCATCTAAAAAACAGCTGGAAATTTTCAATAAACTTACAGTATTATTATTAGTATTATTTGTCCCTTGGGTTCCCAGTGGAACATACGGCTTCAGTAACACATAGCCATCTCACTCTCTCTCTCTTCTCTCCAGTCTTTTCAACCTGGCTCCAACACTGCCCACAAACTTTCATTTCTTCCTCACACCATCTGCTCTAAGTCACCCTCACCTCGAATGCCCAACCCGTCGTTTCTCATTTCGGTTCCATTCCACGACCTAGCCTGACCTGGACCAGCCTAGCCTAACCTAGCACTTCATGTCCCAAAATGGTCTTCCCAGTGTGTGCCAATCCAATCCATCTCAACTTTCTTCTGCTTTTTGATAAGCGATAGGTTCTTGCCTCGTTGGTCCGTTGTGGGGACAGCCAGCCAGCCAGAGTTACTCGTTCCTCATTCTTATTATTCTGGCCATCTGAGCTTCAGTGTCAGCATCGAGCGAGCAAGCGTAGATGGCAACTGTTGATGAATGTCTTCAGTTTGTTGGAAATGCTTTTTGTGACGCGCTAAGTCTCTCAACCATATAAAAACACTGACTTGATGCTGGTGTTGAAAATCCGGATGTTGTTCTCACTTTATGCTGAGTGCAGTGCAGTACAGTGCAGCAGATCTCCATACTAGTTGCAGGTTAAGGATCGCCTGTCTTGCTTTTCCGATTCTGGCTTTGACGTCCTCATCTGTGCACCCCCTGTAGTTGAGACGATGCTGCATCGCCTAGATAGGTGAAAGAGACAACTTCCTTTAAGTTTCTCACGTTGGTGGTGATTGGTGCTTGTTGTTGGTTGTGGTGTTGGTTGGGTATCATCATCACCTCTGTCTTCTCTACGTTCACCTGAAGGAAGTCCCGTCTTCACTGCCCTACCTCACCTCTTCTGTCAACTTGTTGGTTTTCGCCTGTAGATCTTCGAGCTTCAGAGATATTAGACGGAAGTCATCATCGGCGAAATCCAAAAATTCTAGGATCTTCTTATCGGTCTTCTAAAACAGCTTATGCCCATCTTCTCGCTCCTCACAGTTTCTTCCATGACCCAGTACAGTATGGTACAGTACAGTTCAGTCAATCACAATCAGGAAGATCATCGGTGATGGTAGGCGTTAACCTTGCCTCATCTTACTCCTGCCTTCACTTCACTTCACTCCAAAGGCATCACTGGGCTCACCTTTCCATTGTGAATCAATCGGCATGTAGCATCCTCATATAGCACAGCATATGACTGTTGAATGAGGTTGATAAATGTATGTGACACTCCACAGTGTTGAAGCAACTGCCAAATTACTTGTCGGACGACGTTGTCGAAGGCCTTTTCGAAGTGGATGAAGTTCAGGTAAGGTAGAGAGTTGACTGCCATTCCAAACTCTGTTCTATAATGTGTAGCGTAGCGTAGTGTTGCAATTTGATCCTCACATGATTTGTTCTTTCTGAATCCAGCAAGCCAGCCAGCCAGCCTGTTTCGGTCGAAATTTTAAATCCAGAGCTTTAAAATCTATTCTCTTCAGGATGATGCGACTTAATATTTTGCTTGCATTGAGTGAACAGAGAGGGAGCATGATTCCGCACCAGTTGCTCTTCTCGCAAACACTTAGGTCACATTTCTTCGATATTTTGACAAGGTAGTCCTCCTTCCAATCGATAGACAGGTACTTTTCCTTCCTTCGTTCCAAACCTTCTGCAACAGTAGTGGTGTGGTGTGAGCATGTCCTCTGTTGTCTCTGCGTCTGTTCTCAGTTCTCCTGGTGGAATTCCATCTGGTCCTACTGCCTTTCCAGACTTCAACAACTGGATCGTGTTCAGGAATTCGGCTTTTGTTGGAGTGCCTGTGTTCACTGGTAGTTCTGTGGCTGGGCTGCTGGTGGTATTTCTCGACGAGTTGCAGCTGGTGGCTTTGGTGTTGTTGTTGTTGGTGGTGGTGTTGTTGTTGTTGTCGGTGGTGGTGATGGTGATGGTGTTGGTGGTCAATTGAAGAATCTTTTGAAGTGGTCAGCCGTTCCTTCCCTCTGTTTCTCCTCTCTGGTGGCAAATAACTTTCCTTCACTATCTTTCATTGCTTTCATTTGTGTTGTGTTGTGTTGTGTTGTGTTGTGTTGTGTTGTGTTGATCTCTTCCATTCCAGATAGTCATCTGGTTATTTGATATGATGTTGTCAGGTGTATATCTCTCCTGCAGCCTGCAGCCTGTCTGTTCTGCTTCACTTGCCAGTGTGTTGTACAAGTGTTTTTTGTGTTTGCGCTCACTCTTCTTCACTTCTTTGTCCAGTGTAGTGTTTTTCATTGGTTGTATTCAGTTCCTCTTTTCGTTATTCATCACCGCACTGCACTGCACTGCACTGCACTGCACTGGTTTATCTGCCGCTTCACCATCTTCCTCTCTCTCCTCTATCAGCTTCCATGTGTCCATCTGGATACATTCCTTGTTTTGTCCTGCTTCTTCTTCATTCCTTACTCGGTTGTGCAGGTTTCTTTCCACATCTCTTTCACAGAGTTCCAGTGTTCATCCACACAGGTTTCTTCACGAATGTTTTTTGATTTCTCCCATTTTGTCTTGATGGCTGATGTGAAGATGTCCTTTGTAGTTTCGCTATTCAACTCATTTTCTGTTCTGGATGTTCAACTTGAACTGTGTTCTTCTATCACCAACTTCCTTGAATACTTTCAACTTGATTTTGAAGGCAGGTTCCTTGCACCAGATACTGAGTGGTGTCAACCCACATCTGCTCCAATTCTTCCTCTGATCTTGTGTCCAGTAGGCTGGCTGCGTCTCCATCTCCATTTTCTTCACATTGAGATGAAGTCGATCTTATTTTTAGTGTGTCCATCCGATTTAAGTTACATGATACTGGTTTATATACTTGTTTCTCTTATCTTTCTTACATGCCCACAAAACCTAGAATAAATGATATCTACGATATGAGACAAAAGATTACTTCTCAGTAGTTCTCCAAATGACGTCAGTTCATGATGAATACAACCATAAAACTGCACTGCTATATAGTGTCCATAAGTGACATGCTTCGAGATGAATATGCTGAGAAGCTGTGACCTGTATGGTCAACCAGCTGTAAGTTTAGCGGATGCCAGTCAAAGATCTTAGTGGATAGTCGCTCTATATGATGAATTGACAAGAGTAGTAAACTGTGGACTATTGAACCCAGTGGCTGATTAGTTAACGTCTTTGCGATGAAACCTAAAGGTGGTTAGTTCGGTGTCCGTGGCTGCGCACTGCTGAGGAATCCCACCATAGGACGAAACAGCTGTTCAGTGCTCCCAGGTTTCTCTTCGAAATAGTGATGCTGTCAGTAAAATGAGTAATATGCTTATTGGTCAGTTCTGGGTGATAAAATTCTTCTCTTTTCAAATAATGACTTCTGTTAGTTTAAATAACCTTTTATTTATATTACCAAACGAAGTTCATTTCAATCATTTCAGACGTTCCTCGTTTACTGATTGGTTCATGAAGTGATGTCATTCAACAAACTATTAGAAACGTTATCCTCCTGACTGTGCGACTTGATCTGTGGAGACTGCATACAATTGTGTATAAACCACTTCAACTATGAGCAATATTTCAGTTTCATCGTTTCTTTTACACATTCTGTACAGTATTCCTAATACTTGTAAAAACGAATGTTGTTTATATATACACTTCTTTGGTTGTGGCGGTAATTGCATCTTTTGCTGCTGCTAATCGTGGAAATATAATGTGCTTCTAACCATTCCGACTTCTGCCTCCGTGACCATTGCCTGTCGTGCATAATGACTGATTGTCTTGGGAATTGATAGGACTTCTCATCCTACTTCCAAATATTACGACAATCAAGCTGACCAGCGACCACAGCGGAGACCCAACAAATATCGCCTTCTGATCTCTGGAGTATCCTAAAATTGTGGTGGACGATACCGAAGAAATAACCTCCAAGTAACTAGTGGTTATCTATAACATTGACAACACTATTTGTGCTACAACGTATAACTTTTCACGCACGTATATCATAAAATCCATTTTTCTTGTAAATTATAGGTAGTTTGTCATTTAGGTTTATTTGACATTCTTTGGGTCCACTACAGATCTTTCTAGTCTTAGAAATTTTTGAGTTGTTGATTGGCCTTGTTGATGACTTTCAAAATAGAACCAATCTACTTGCCTGTTCTCCTCCCACTCTGGTTGTTTTCTGTTTTAGTCAGAGTGTGATGAACATAAACCTTCAAATTCGGTACCATCAACTAAGATAATCAGAAAACGTTTGTACTTTAATTCATTTCTTGTGGAGATAACGGTCGAACTTGTAAGAAACGCAGGGCTGCAACCGAATACAAACCATAGATTACAATATGCAAGCTTGTACGGTTTCTCAGGTGATGTTGAATATTCACGCTAAATTTCACTTTGGCTTCAATTACTTTATCAGCTGTTTCTTGCGTAACTTTTAGCTCTTCATTACAATTACTGTTCATCCACATGTACTTGACTGAAATCAAAAAAGAAGATACGAATTAAACAGGTCTTTGAATATCTTGAAAAGATTTTCGAACAGACAACTTTGCATTACAACTATTGTCAGGGTGGCCTTTGAAATAACTGGACTTTAACGGCCACCCTAACAACCAATAGGATAACCTATCACACTGGTGCTTCGGTACCAGAAGGCGCTTTTCTACAAAATACAGAAACGAAATTAGTTATCTCATCAGTTGTTGGGGTGGCCTTTAAAATCACTCTATGCGGTAAAAACCGGAGTGGCCCTAAAGTGCACCCTAGCAACTACTGGAACAACCATTTCATGTAAAAAATGTTTTTCTAACCGAAATCAAGAGACCTAATTGGCTATTTTAGTGGTGGCTAGGTCGGCCTTAAGGATTGAACAAGTAACTATGGTTTAACTATGGTCGACGAGTATGAGTGACTAGAGCCTACCCCAGCATCCACTGAAATAGCCAATCAAGTTTGTCTTTGGAAAGAATTATTTTCCTAGGCGAAATATCGAAACCTGATTGGTTATATCAATAGTTGGTCGGGTGGCCATTAGAGTTACGCAAGATAATTTTGTTTTTTATAAGTGGAGTGAATTTACCGGCTACCCTAACAATTGCTGAAATAACCAATCAAGTTACAGGATCCCGACTGGGAAGTTAATTTTTCTGAAATAGTAGAGAATATTTGTAGCTCAGGTGGATGGTCTTGGTTTTATTGTGTTCTCTGAGCTGGGTTGGTTAACCATCTCAGAGAACACAATACAACTAAGTTTTTCATAAAATGAAGAACCATAATTGCTTGTCTCAGCAGTTGTTGGGGTGGCCTTTAAAGTCACCCGTATAGCTGACAATTTCCAATTATGAAGTCTGCGAAAATAGCATCACACTTAGTGCTCTCTCGCTACATTAGTGATATATAGCGCAAAGGTAAATGAGTCATAATCTGATTTTGTTTGGAGGCGAGCCAAAATTCATGTCGGAATGCTGATAATCATAATAATAATATGCAAAATCATAGCTTTATCTAAATGTGCTATACGGAAACGTGTGTCAGTTAATTTTATGTGTACTTGTGCGTATTTGTGTGTACAACGGCTAGTATGCATGTTTGCAACGGTGCTTATTCACTCACAATATGTATGTGTGGGATTCAAGGTCATGTTACTACAGTGCACGAGGAGAGCAGAGATACATGTCACCTTTTGACTGGTACGCAAGAATACAAATATTCAGTATTCTTTCTTGAATGATCGTTGGATTAGTTTGGATTTCCGATTATTTTAAAAAATAAGCAGATTACAGTGCACTTATATTTACCGCATTTGAAAATACAGAAATTGGCATACACTATCAAAATCGATATTATCACCAATGTTAACTGTCTTTGAGTAAAATGACGAGCAGACAATGATTCACCTTTTTACTAGGGAGGGAACCCTACTTAATCCAGTTTCTCTACGGGAAAACTTCTGCATAATTCACTGAAAAAAGCCTTGTTCTTAAACCTCATCAGAAGTCGATACAAAAATATTACAATAGTTTAAATATTAGCTGTCCCATAGGGAGTCTCTTCAGTTTAATCATCCATGGTTTCAGATCCCCACAATAAAAGTCGTCAAATATCAGGTTAAAAATATTCCAAACAGGATCAAAGGAAGGGATAGACAGACACAAATATGATCTGTCAGATAATTCCCATCGATACTGGATAATCACTGGTGGGATGAAAACTCGGGTTGTGTGGGAATGCGAACCAACGGCCTCCAGACATCTGGCTCATAACGCAGCCAAATGAGCTACAAGATCCAGCGGCTGGCCGGATCCTCACCTGACTGTAATTACCAAGGATTTTACTCGGATGCTATATGAATCCTGCCGCAACCCAAGTATTCATTTCACCTTCAATCATCACCAAGTATCAATAACAATCTGCCAAACTGCGACCATATCGGAGACCCTCTTTAAAACTTCATATTACCACAAACAGTGACAATATCTGCGTAATTGAAATAAACAGCTTCTGTAAAATTTATTTAGCTGTAGTCAGGCTTGTTAGAATAAGTTATAAAGTTCTCACTCAGATGTGTTCCAGTGGTACCATCCTCATCGCCATAGGAGCATGTACCTCTTGTGTTTATTTTCAATTCATTTTAGTGAAAGAAATTATACAGGTTACCTGATGGACTGACCCTATGATCCCCATAAGTGGTATTCTCTTATGTGATAAGCAAATGTAATACAGCAATTTACGCTTGAGATATCCACATGCTTCACTTTCCTAGGTAATTCGTTGATGAACTGTCAGCTTTTAATGAACACTTTCCAGTTTCCACGATAACAAACAGTAATATATACATATGCAAACTAAGTTTATTCTTGAAGATACCAAAAGGAAATTAAGCGATGAGAAAGTTAAGACAATAATAGTGATTCGAGACGTGAATTGGGCGCTTCAATCCACATGTACAGCGATCGGATTACAATCGTGATGCAACGGTTTGTTGGAGTGTTCACATAGTTTTGGCTCGGTAACGAAAACAGGAACGGCCATCCAGTGCATACATAGTAGAAGATATAGGGATGTAAAATTCCATCAGAAAAAGTGGTACACCCTTATTTCGAACTAGTGGTGATGGGAGAATACTGACGGAAAATGGGAGCGACACAGTGTGAGAGAGAGTTGTCAGAATGCTATACTCATAACATCTAATAGCAGTTAACTCTATTAATTTCTGAAACGCAGTAGGCAACTGCCAAAGATTAGACGCAAAACATAGGGAGGTTTGTATTCATTTTCTAAAATGTTGACAACCCCAATACGAACATTTTATTGTAATGAAATGTGTACAACGTACATCCTTGGATGATTCTTGAAGGATGGATAAGTCAGCTCATGTTTTTCGTCATATATATGGAACTCTGTATATGCAATGCAATGAATGCTGTCCGTATAAACTCATAACTCATTTAAACAACAGAAGAATTTGAGCCTCAGTCGCAACAAGTGAATCCATCTAAACAATGCTAAGTAGGTCAGACATTCAGAAACACAGATTGTCTCAACATTTCTCTTTCTTGATGTCTATCGTCACTTACTCGGTCTCTCATACTCTGTACTGCTGCAAAATCCTAATAGCACCAGTATAACAACCACAAAACTTGTACGTAGAAATGTTGGAGAGTCCGTAGAGTATTTTAGCAAAGATTATTCAAATATTGTCTCATCAATAAGCACAGAGTACAAGATGAATGTTGACTATACGGTAAGAAATCTTCGTAAATGTTTTCTTTCCTTAAACGAATAAGACAAGACTGAAGGAAAACAACTTCCCACGACAGAACTCAACCGAATGGCTTTCGCTATATTTATTACGAGGTAACGCCCATAACGTAGGTGGTCTAGTATCATATCGAGGTATACTAACATTACAGCGTATTTCTTTCTTTCATTTTAAGTGTTCTAAAGTGATCTGTATGAAACGCCTAGCTCAACTTTCACATTCTGAAAAAATGAGCACGATAAACGTTTTTAGGATGACCAATTTGCAAAATGATTTACAAATCACATGGTCCAACTTGACATTTCTTACAGGTGAGTGGTTTTCCAATTGTGGTGTCAACAAGGTTTTCGATGGAAACCACTCAGCAAAGACCGAAAGATTTCGCCAGCCAGATAAGAGTGATTTAAGTTCAGAGATCAGCCTTAGTAGTTTCTAACTACCCAAGTGCTTCAGTAGTAGTAGCATCTTTCGCTAGTTCATGACACTTTTATGTCAGAGATCACATCCTGTCATCTCAACTGCATGGTTCCCACCAGGAACCATGTTGACATCACAGTTAAATAGCAGTTGAAAAACTACTCAGCTGCATTCGTGTGATTTGCACATCACCTACAAACTGATCATCCAATTTTAGGTATCCCGGTACATGTCAGTTAGCTTGGCTCCGAACGAGCGAAACAGCCATTCGATGATTAGATCACTCTGATCTGACTGGCAAAATCTACAGATCAGCCTTAAATTAACAAATACTCAGGTAGTGCAGTAGCGACATCTTTTGATAGACTTTGTCACCTGAAATGTGCACATGAAAAATGAAAAACAACAATTTTTTAGATCTATTATATATGTAAAAAAAAATTGGGGTGCACTTTACACACACTCACGCAAGTAAAAGCAAACGAACGAATAAAACAGTTACACTGCAAAGCCAGTTGAAGTATTCCACAATGTTTGTTATATTGCTTAAATTGCTCACCATCACCACTTCCTGCCTAAAGTGTTTTTAGCCTTCGTTTTCCTCGTGAAGAAATCGACAGATTCTTCGACAAGTAGTGGTCTATTTTTAAAATTATTACTCTAAAAATAGACCACTACTTGTCGAAAAATATGTTTTCTTCACGAGGAAAACGAAGGCTAAAAACACTAGGCAGGTGGTGGTGGTGAGCAATTTAAGCAATGTAATAAATATTGTCGAATATTTCAACTTCAAATAGCTCAGAATCTATTCGAATATGTTTAGAAGAAGAAAATAAAACGAATGTTTAAAACAACTTTTACATAGCGTAGTAAAAATAATAACAAATATTCGGATAACAAGATTATACACAAGAATGTACATGATCAATGTCTCAAAAAATATGAAGACAAGATAAAATAGCTCATAGATGTTATTATTTGCTATACGTAGGAAATAACTAGTTCTAAGACCATATGAGACTTGCGAAACCGAAATAACGTGTGATAATCAATATGGTGCCCTTAATAAGCTTACCAAACTATCAATAGAAGAATAAAAGAATCGTAAAGAAAGAGAAAATGGGACACATTGTCAATCAGAAAACTACATATTAATGATTAAATAGACAACTATTTGAATGAGGATTACCACAACCATACAATCAGAAAGTTGTGCAGTCCAAGTCAACGGAAGAAGTGAAGTGATTATCTGTACAAAAAACGGATAGAACAAGTTACTAATGGTGGTAATGTAAAGAGGCGATAAAATGTGCGTGATGGGATGACCTTGAAAATAAAATTTAATGGAGGCTAGAAATAAGGTTAATCGACAATGGAACAGCATATTTCAAATGTGAACGATGGAAGTCAATTGTAACGCAAAAGTAGACTGTACAACAGGTATATATATATATATATATATATATATATAACATAAAGAATAGGTGAAGCCAGTGCTGGGTTCAGTGTATGATACACCGGAACCAAAAAGCGAATTGTTAAGGAGGGAAACGAAAACAATAATTAATCAACATTAGTATCATTGCTAGATAGCATTTTTAGATTACAAATTACAAAGAAAAAGGTGTATAATTATGAGGTAGAAATAAGATTCGTAAAATAATATTAAAAAAAACGTTGAGACTCTGTAGGCACACAGCTCAATTTTCATTGTGAAAATTTTGAAATAAAGGAACATATGAGATCGTGATGGATATCGATACTCTGAAGTACACATACCATAAATTCATCACATTGGATATTGTATATAATGAGCACATTACATGAGAGTAAAAGAATGAATTGAGCGTTAATTATAATCAAAATTAAAAGGTCATACGTGATCCATGTTGACATTACTTCCAATGAACCAGTCACGGATTGACAGAGGAGAATTTAATTCAGAGGTTGATGAGGACAGCAAACCCTTTAGAGTATCCGAGTTTGGATTGGTTATAGGATTTGCACTTGAAGTAAAAACTGCACCTCCAGAACACGGTGCCGTGGAATGAGTCACAGGAGTTGAATACACTTGAGATGTTGGTTTGGTTGAATTTAGGAGTGTAGGCCAAAGAAGTAAACTCAGTGAATCTGGTTGAGTATTAACGTAAGCAGACGAATAAACACTAGCAATTGCATTTTCGCTAGTAGGTCGGAGTTGTTTATCAAGGGGATTGGATTTGGTTGATGAATAAGATGATGATGAGTCAGAAGATGTTGCACTTGAACTGCCTGAACGCCAATAATGCAAATGATCAGGAAGTTCTGTATTTTGAATACGGGAATGTGATGATCCAGCAGACGAACATGGAAGCCTATCACCAATAACTGTTGACACAAGTTTAGTAACAGACATAACAGATGCCATATGACTTGCAGTCGAACATGTACGTACATTACTAGCATTTACAGCTGAAATAAGTTGTTTACCTTCGTTTGATGACAACGAATCAGAGCGTGAATAATAACCAGAACTCGAATTGGATCCATTGGAATGAAGACGAGGTAAATTTTCAGCGCATGATGTTTTCAGGCATGGAGATATATGATCTGAAGGATGAGATTGGATAGCGAATTCCACTCGTTCATTGATCTTTGTATTAGGGATACACCAAGGTATTTCAAGTTTAGGGGGTATGCCATACGCAGAAGATCGGGAAAATTCATCAATTGGAACACTGCCTGTAAGAATTTCTTCAAAACTGAAAATATTATTCATTTCAACTAATTTATTGGTATCAGTTGGAATATGAAAATTATTGTTCGACTGATTTTTTATATCAGATGAATTAAAACTTGAATTAAGAACCGTTTGTGAGTAGTCAATATTATCTGTTGGTTGATTGCTAAAGTTGTTATCAATACCTGAAGACGAAGGATTCGTACATGAACAAGAGTATGCTAAATCAGTTGCCATTTGACTTGATACACTTGAACTTGGCACTTCTGTAGAACGCTGTGAATCATCCGAAGCTGACGTGACACTTAAATTAAAGTCATGCGTAGTCATTGAATTTCCCAGAGCATTTAAAGCAATTTGAAGGGCTGGCGGAATTTGCGTACCAGCTTGTGGTCTATGTGCTTGCATCCATGGGTGTTGCAGGATTTCTAACAAAGACGGGCGTTTAGATGGGTCCATGTTTAAACAGCTTCTACAAAATTAATCAATATGAACAGTCAACATCTTCAGGGTAAAGGTTCACTGAGACAATAAAGGTGAAACAAACATGCATGATAAAAGTGTTTTTCATTTAGTGAACAAAATTAATAGTAAACAAGACGTAAATGAGAACGAGTAAATATTCGAACGGTTTGATAAGAGAACGACAACAAGGAATTATTTCTTTTAAACTGAACGTCTAACAGCACTTCCTACTAAAATCTGTACAGACTGTAAAGTTCACGAGATTTGTTGGATATTCTTATTACCCACTATGGAATGTCACACCTTAATCTGGAATGTTGTACCTTGTTTATTTAGGAGCTTGCATTAAAGTGCACTCCAGACTCTGATGAATTACGCAGGCAACTGAACTACTGTATGACAGGTCCAGGCAGTGGACGACGAGTCACAGAAAGAGAACTCGTAATGTATCATGTTAAAAAGTCAAGCCAATGGGTCCTTAACTAAGATCCCAGATCAAATGAAAACTCTTGTTTACTGCTCAGTCAACATCGTTAATATTCATCTCAGAGAAGGCTGGTAAAGAAAATAGCATTTCTGAGCAAGTAAAACCTCTCTATTTACATGATATGTGATCCCAGTAACTTGTCAGCTGTCAAGATATAGATTACCCTCCTATAACCAAGTGGTTATCACTAATGGTTGACCCAGTGATCGAAAGACACTCTGGATTTTGATTAACTGATTTCCAACAAATAAATAAAAAGATAGCAATTTGCCAAAATATTCACAGAACTGCAGGAAATACTTCGGCATAACGGAACACCGTGTCGCGCAATCAAATGCTCAGTATATTTGAGGATGAACACAATTTATTGTCCATTAGAATTAATAATGCGCAAAAGTCTGTTATTCTATCACGAATTGGATAACGCCAATCAGAAGACAATTAGTCAACATCAACAAAGAATCTGTCATTACTACGTTACTGTTCAAGCTGCCACAATCAGAAGGCAATGAAGGATATCATCCTTTTAAAACAGGTTATCAGTACAATCATAGCGTAAAACAGTTTATATTATAGTAGTTATACATGTTAGATAGCTGACACCCAGTGCACATTTTCCAAATCGTTGTACTACTTCACAAACTACGCAGTTTAGGGGTTTAGCTATAAGTAGGACTTGTGTGACAGCTAGTAATATCAATTTGTTGCCCAAACATTGGTAGATGCAATGGCACCCCGACTCTTTATCTCAACTCATTAAAATTAACCAATTACGTACACAGCACCACATAATCACCGAGTAAGTACATCACAACCAGCATGATCATAAGTTAAACCTGGACAAATTTATTTCCAGTAAGTACTAAAACGATAAATTGTAAGTCGTGTGGATAGTAAATAACGCATTTACTCTCAGTTTACTTCGAACCACAGAAATACGTATTTATCATGTGGTGAAAAACATATGTATACTTTCCCCTCATGGTAGCTTTAGAACGAGTCACACACTAGTATAAGCCTCACAAGAAAGTGGTACACATATATATGAGATTACTTTAATGCATGTTTTAGTAACGGATAGTTGTTTTTTGTAAAATGGAGAAGACCGTTGGTTGGAGACTTGAGGTCGACCTCTAGTAAAGTAAGTCCATCTATTCAACTAACTGAAATTTCAACACTGTTTCAATTATTTCTTCCTGAACTGAGCTAATCTTATTTTACAACTCGAGGGTGCAGATACTGACAACGATTTAATAAACGGTTGGAGTATGGAAACGAGTTTCCAATAATGAATAAAAATTTTTTTAAAAAAACAAAGAAATACGAGTTCAACTTACGCAATAAGATGTTTTGCTGCTTCACTTAAATTGTCTCTACGATATCGTAACTTTCCCCCAATAATACTTTTATCATTTACAAAAGGGATATCACCACACAACATATCATACAGTAGTACACCCAAAGACCATACTTCAGCTTGTTTACCATGATATCGATTGTTCAGAATCCATTCAGGCGGGCTATAAACACGAGTGCCTAACAAAAGACAATTGGAAGTGCAAATTAACCACTAACTAACAGGTTTGCATAAACAATATACAGAAAACCAAAGATAGTGGAAGGTTGAAATACTGGCAGCCTTACAACAATTACCTTTTATACATATTTAGTATTTTAAAATTGCCAGAAGTATCAGCTTGACGTCATATATCTATACCGTGTCTGTTAAATGCATTGTCCAAGATTTTACACTCATCCAAGCGTAAATTCTATGGATGTCCTTCGTTTAGTCCTTTCAATGGACTTATTACCCTAAGTCCATGTTAATTCATAAATGCGGTCGGGAGCAAATATGACACCGGTCTTTTTCTATCCATACATCCTTGTATGCTGCTGTCAAACCAATACACTTGTGTGGGTTGATTTTTTCTGTCTATAGATTTGTGGATATTTGCTTAATTGGCATTAATGATTACCATTATTAATTAGTTGTAACTTATGGTTCATCCCAGCCCTCTACTACTGTTATCCATCCATACAGTAACCTGTATTCTAAAAATCAGATCCAGGTTCATCGTAGACTTGTTGAACTGTTCAGCACACTAATGATGATAATTAACCCCCCAATACCACAGAAACATCAAAAACAAGCCCCAAGATCCAAACATTAGTTGAAACAGCAAAAGTCAATTATTTCAGTTGATATAAGATAACCTAATCCAAGAAATATGCTGAGTACAATGTGAAAGAAACCACTTCAACCTACAACAACTGTATATGGAATGCTGGATTCACAAACGAAGCGTTAATTTAACTTTATGCACCATCCTGAAACTAGAAGGGAGTTTAATATGAAAGAAGCAGTTTAAGTTAGTTTTCCCGATTATCTAACGTTTTAGAGCTGTCGCTTACTCAGCGAAACTAAGCAGAATTACATATATGCCATAAAACAAAACAAAAAATACTACTAGTTAGAATATCTCTTACAACACTTACCATCGAAATCTGTGTAAAAACGTGATTCCAAGAAAGCACCAGAACCAAAATCAATAAGTATTAATTCATTGGTTGTACGATTGATTAAAATATTTTCATCTTTAATATCTCGATGCAGTACACCAACTTTATGGCATGATAATAATATACCGATTAATTGATGAAAAAAATAAGCTGTTTCACTTTCAGACAATGTTCCTCGTTCACCAATATAATCAAACATATCACATGTGGTATTCGAAACTCGATCCATAACAATTGCCCATGATTGACCTAAATTAAAAGCATCCAACAGGTGAACTATCCCGGTAAACCCTGACACATAACTAGGAGTACAACTTCAATTGGCATTAACTGGTTGTCCAACTAAATATTTATATTAAAAAAAAGAAAACAAAATAGCAATAATAATAAAAAACAATAGTTGACTATAGAAGAAAAAACACTAGTTCATGTTACTGACTTACTACTGGCCCCACACAGTAGTTGAAAAACGGACAACCTAAATAAAAGACGCATAGTTTTATGACCTAGCACATGGACACAGGTAGTATGCCCACATGAACAGACATTAAGTTAACTATCAGTCAGTAACGCCTGGTCAGGGTGGGAGAACAGGAACAAGACAATCAACCAACCAGGCAGCTGACAACTACACATGTGCATACACACAGATAAAATAACAAAGAATTTTAATATTGAGAGATTGAGACAAATGATACTATACCAGTACTTCTGAGCAGTCTGGATTCTGGTCACCCTAATTCGAATTAGACAAAGCCAGTACAAAAAAACACCATCAGTTATGCATATTTATCGAGAACTATGGGAACAGAAGTACAAAATGTATCATATAATAACTGCATCATTCAGCTGTAGAATAAACCCTGAATGAGAAAATAATACACAATAGAAACCTAAAATGTTCTAAACGATTTGTATTACTGAAATACTTCAAAAAACATACAAACACAAATTGAGCACTACATGACAAGTAATGTAGGTAGCTCGACAAAAGAACATGAGTTTCCTCAAGTATGCAAGTAAATGCAAAACATAAAAAGTGGTAAAAGATGAGTGACACATGTAAGTGACCATATACCAGATCTCAAACAACCCAGATGAAAGTCAAAATCCACCCAGCAATCTTGTGCACATTTGTGCACAAGGCAAAGAGCCACACCTATTGTGTGAAGGCTGGTGATACTACCTGATTGCCTAAATCTCATTTGGTGGAGCGGTGTTCGAAGCCTCGATCCACTGGCTGAAGGTCAACTCCCTGAACCAATCAGCCACAACTCCATGTCTGCTAAGTGGTAAAAGTCGGTGATTGAACATACATTGGCGTATACATTCTTTCTGTATATCTGCAACATATTCCATTCTTATCTCTTCAGTGCCATTCTAGAACACTTCAGAATCTTATTTCTACTGACAGTGTCAAGATGTGATATGCAACCGAAATACCGTCAAAACTTCGCTAAATTCCTTCTGCTGGTATGCCACTTTTTGCATACACATCCTACTGCCGTTTAAAACACCACAAGGAGATAGGTCCTGATAAAAAAGGTTTCAGTTACTGTTCACATGAACAGTTCACAAAAGTACTTTACCAATGTAATTAAAGGCAGATTAAAATATTATAATGTGGCAGTCAGATGGACAAAATCAGTGTAGAACGTCTTACATAAGTGCATCGATTCAAGTTCCTTCACAAAAGTGTACAGAGAATAAATTGACAGAAAAATAGTGATATCAATACAGACGAAAGTGTATGAGAGAATAAATAATTTAAAGATTAAGGTAAGAGAAAATATTCAAGCTTTAGATGTCAAGGTGTATATATGTGTGCGCAACCATGACCGATTTCCAGCCGTGTCACCCAGAGTCCTCAACCATTGGTTCATATTGTATGGAGGGCCAGTGGTTGACGACCCCTGGTGAAATGGGAATTGTATTTTGACCCACTTTGATGGCTGAATAACTCGACTGAGAAAACGAAAATACGACATCATATTTACTTGCAGAGAACTAGTGAACCAACTGTTTCGATCAATAACATAGCAAAACATGATAAAATACATTCCATAGGTGAAACTAGATGTAGTCACTTAATTGCATTCGCTGTTTTTAACCAGTTTTGAGAGTCTACAACACACCACTTTGAGCTGTAGCTCACTAGTCCAGGTAGTCAATTTTTAACCAATAATGATCTATAGAACTCGACCTCACATCAACCAAGAAGGTTCAGGAAGATAGGCCTTAAAACAGGTGTAGCTCACGGTCAAACGCAAACCAACAAACCACGAGAGCATCGATAACTTAAAGCGATCATGAGCATAAAGCCAAGTGGCAAACTCCAGATAGAATTGTCGTGTTTGAACTGATGAAGGCAGCTTACTTCTCTTTCTGCTCAAGCGAACAAATACGGTATAGTCAAATTACAATAAATTGCTGAAATCAAAACCAAATGGGACTAAAAATCCACAAGTATCATAGTTGAATCCATTTCAAGGATTTTAATTAAATTATATCTATTCAACGACTAAGGGGAATCAATAGACATCTGACTACAAACGTGACTGTGGCTCATCGACCTAGGCATTCGACTTGCAACCAGTGGACCACTGGTTCGAATCCTTGCTTACATGCCAAGGTTTGGATAACCAGGTAAAATCCTTAAAAGATACGTGTAATTCATTGCTTACCGTAGTAACAGGTACGTGAATAGTTCTCTCTTTTTCTAAACTCCACCAGTGGAATGATACAAATGGCAATAACTGTTTTCGATGGATCTGAAGTCAGCAAACTTACTAGTACAAAGCACAGCTACTTTGCTGTGTTGTGCAAATAATCCCTGGTAAAACTATACCGAAGTTCAAAACAAGCAAAACTAGGGAAAAACAAAGGCGGAGACAATAAGAAACCTAATACCACAAAATACAGCCTCGTATCAAACAAAATCTTGGATGGGAATCAAGATTCTAGTCAACACATGAGCCATCATGAAATGATAATTCACGGCGTAAGTTTTGACAGTTGGTGATATGACAGTATAACACATTTTGGCTGCCGGCGCCGCGGAAGATTATCACAAGGCGATTTTAGAGGAAAAACTGGCTTAGTATTAGATCTTCTCGACTTCGAAAAGATATTCGGGATGAAGAAGTCAAATAAGGTATCTGGTTTTCAACTTCAGAGTTTGCCTAGAAAACTTACTTTTAGTATTTAAATTTCGTAAGATGAACAAAACACACACATTTCTCAACCCTTTGAGAAACAGAATACCACTGCCCTCATAGGTGAGGCTAGCTGCTTTGACCTCACCACTCTCCATTTGATCTTAATATGAAATAACATTATTAGTATTGCTTATTAGAAGACAAACATGGTACGGCAAGGGCGCTAAGAAATGCTCCGCATAAAATGGTATGACAACATTGTGAAGACAAACGATGGGAAGTGGATAAGTAAGAAATAAAAACAATAAGAATAACATGATCAGAATGGCAGTCCAATGAGATACATTTAAAACCAAATATTCATTACTTCCCAGAAGTAAAAGATAGGAGGAAGCTACATGACCACCACTGAGCCATATCTGATAACGTCTCAAGCCATTAAGTTGCATGATCTCTCGGACCCCATGCAGGTAGTCATGATGCAGGAACAGATGCAACTATCCTTCATTCCACGGCGTTACGTCATACCCCGACCACCCCTCCGCTCCTCCGACCCAGTCCCAGGGCTAGTAATCGTCTCAATCAAGAAAGGTAGGACAGGCTATTATGAACTGTAGGCCTGATCACCATGGCAGGTTAATAGCTGCGATCGGAAGCGATATTTGTCTTCGAAATCAAATATAACATTATCCAATAGTAGATGTCGCTTACGTATGCGTGTGTACGCACTCTGAAAAAACGGTAAAAGTAGTATTTTGAAGCATTTCCGAAGATAGAAAGATACAGCGACATCCTGCAACTTAGGTTTGGTAACCTTGATGTGATGGCTTTTCCACTGTCTTCAATTTCGGAAATCAGAAGTCAAAAATGAATAGATTTACTAGGGTATGAGGGAAACAGGTCTGAATCTGTGACTCAATAGTTGATGGACAAATGCTTAAATGAATGACCAAGCCCCACAGTGATGGTAGAAGTCCCACTCACCAGCTAAACTTCGATAAAAGTGCATCACAGTTATTGTAATAAATATGTGGTTTTGGAAACAATGAACCCATTACATCGTTCAAAGATTCTAGTCTTTTAGAATGAATGCAATTACATGCTTCGCACTAGCTGGACAGCAGTAAAGCATGTTTGGGGTGGAACAAAAAAGGGCTGACGTCGCAAAAAAAACCACTTATTTTGTCGAATTAACTGCCATTAGAACAGCATGACAGTACATTTAACTTCCAGATGATTGATTTTAACAGACGTTAAGAAGTGCTTAGGTGTGTGTCAAGATTATCAACTACACGCCCATACGAAACAGAATACAAAAATAAGACAAATCGACAATTTCCTTTACACATGAAGAGAAAACCTATTGATTCTAGTACTTCAAAAAAAGTGATTATAAGAGTGTATATACAAAGTGCAGACAGAGCAGCTTAGCTAAAATTTAACAAAGGGTTACTTACCAAACACCAACAAGGAACTTTGTCTGAGCGAACCTCTTTCACCACCACTTCTTTATTATCCGACGTACGTCTAGCCCGATGAACATGACCAAATCCACCAGATCCAAAACGTTCACCAAGAGTGTAACGCCGCAGAAATTCGTAATAACCTTCATAAATTTCAATCTCTACAATAAATAAAAATAAGGTTCAAAACAAGCTTTGAACTTAGTCCTACTACTGTTACAGTAGCATACACTGATCAAACACAAGAGACAAAGACTAAGCTTAGTTCAAAGAAGTGTCGCCCAACAAGAAAAAAGAACACAAACTCTGTGACAAATCCTAAACGTTAATAGAAATCAGTAACCGTCTTAAGAATCATGTAGTCAATAATGGATCATGATAGAAAATCTCAGATGGATTGAGTTTATAAGTGCAACTCAGTCTGAGATTCGTGTCTAATCCAATGAGACAGATCCACTGCGTGAAATGCGGACATTCGAAAACGGTGTATGTAAAAGCACATCAATAATTTGCACATCCAGATACTCTACTAAGCAGCAATGCTCAGAAAGAACTTAAATCACCAACGATGGAACTCGAATAAGGGAGGAACTCAACTCATGTAAGAGTAATTTAATTCAGTCTTCCTATAAGGTTGCATGTCTTCTAATACGAGCCACATTGTGTATGCGCTAGTGGCAGTACTGGCTGTTCAGCTTGAAGTGTAGCTGGGTTTGAACCCGGAACCAATTATTTAGAAACCGAACCTTTAATTTAATGAACCAAACTAACTGTAGCGTTATGTATAGACTTCGTAATTACCGCATTTGAAACACCTGGGCATTGTCAGTTAGGAAGACCTATAATAAAAGTCACTAGTCAGAAAATACATTAACAGGAACCAGCCATCTCTTTCCAGTGGTGTACAACTTGATTTGAGTATGTAACTAGTTTGTAGCCAATAAAGATCCTCCCAACAGACATGACTATGCATTCAAGGCCGCCTCGTTAACCGTTTTAACTTCATATTAACCTTGAAACTTCCTAGAATATGTTCTTTGTAGAAAACATGATAAAATAACACACATCTGGATGCATTCGCATCAGCAAATTACTTAGACTGGTGGACACAAAACATGAGCGACATAACAGGCAATAAATACCATTCTCAAGCATCTAAGTGCCAAGTGCACAGATAATCATCGTAACTAAATTTGAAGTTTATAGATCATACTACTTATCAAAGGATTAAGGAAACTAGTTACGTGTAAAACTTACGTAAACCTAGGTCTTGTGAACTTCGCTTGACAAGTCTTCCACTTGCATAAGAGTTATTTTGATGCTGTAGAGCTGTATGGGCCATTTCGCATGCAGTCCAAAAATTAGGTATATTCCAATTAAGCAGCAAGTACGTAGACAGTCCACATAACAATTAATACAGAGTTCAAACTGATCAGGCTGTAATAGGTTTCAGATTTTTCACACAAATGTGAAGTTAAAAACCTAACAAGTCGACAGCAACGAGAGAACCTAGACGTTCGTAATCGCGATTAAGTATGAACAAGTGTTTCATCGTTGTTGAAACTCGTTTATTAGGTTAGATGAACGACTTCACTCAATACCCAATAAGAAGACAGATTATTATTGTTTGATACTTCATTGGCTAGTTTTTGTATCGCCTTGACCTGTCCGTGCTGAAATTGAAAGAAACCAATCATCTTTTAGAATTCCAATCATTGGACCATACGTTTACCTTACAATTGTTAGGATTAACGCCCACCATTCATTTTTTTGCATACACCCACGTTGTCCTTAGCAAAACTTTCCTCAGGTCAACCAGTTTAGCAATCCTCAGATCACTTGATTGTTTCACGTGTTTTCCTGAAAGTGTACCAAAGTAATGATAATATAAACATAGATTTTGGACAGTGTGGCATATAGAAATGTGGGTTTATTAATCACTGCTAAAAGGAATTGCTAGCTAATCCATCATCCGTCAGATAATTAAGGGATTTCAGAAAGAAGTAAAAAGCAAATGAAGTGGTCGGAGTGTAAGCCATACTATTTCGAAACAATACAGTTTTTAGGGCGAAAATTATGAACATGATAATCATTATTAGTTATCATTCAGTTGCAACCTATTCAACTAGCAACATTATTTTAACTAAACCCAACATATTCGTTTGGTTGAAGTTACTGATCCAAGTGGCATATACCTGCTCATCCACTTAATATCAACGTTAATTGCACTAACAGAAAAAGTCCTTCAGATCAACCCCATTGATTTATTGCTGTGATCAGTTATTGCATGATAAATGGTGCATCTTTTTTACATCTCACTGATGTGATATTCGGACAGAGAAGACCAACTTAAAACTTCATTCAGAAGAAGTGTATCTGTCCAAATTGCTACCTTTTATTGCAGTATGAGAAATAACAGTTGGGTAAGGAAATTGTTATCACAGTAGACAAGTATGTATGAGACAGAAACAAATTTGAAAAGTGAATATTGATGAAAATTCTAAAGCCTTCCAAGACTTCAAAAAGTGAATGCATGTACGCCATTGTGACCAATTTTCAGATGTGTCACAAGACCATTAAACCATTGATTCCGATCGTCTTGAGGAGCCGAGCCAGACAGTCTACACCTCCTTACACACCTCACACCAACAGTCGGAGAATCCATGCACTCGTACCACGTCTTGTTCTGACCACCATGTACCCTCTTCCAACTTAATCCTACTTCTGTTAACATTACACGTCGAGGAAAGTGGTGGTTGGGCATGCCCAGTGTATATGCAAGCCAACTCAGTCACTGGAGATTCACAACCTCATCGAACGACTTCCCTGTCTTATCTGGTACTTTTCGCCTGACCTCAATATTGCTGACACAGGGATCCCATCATACATGAGTGATGTTAAGAAAGCTTATATGGTTAACAATCTGTAGTCTCTTCATGTCTTTCACTTTTAACGGTCATGTCACACAGCCGTATAACGGGATAGAACGGACTGCAAGGCGATATACTCGTTCATTAACAAGTAGTCGGATACCCAACCAGTCCACTCCAGAGGTGAAGAGAGTAGGAAAATGCCGCATGAACCTTGTGTATCTGAGCTAAGATTGCATCATTATCTAGTCTATTCGGGGCGATGCAACTCCTCAAGTAAGTGAAGTAGTTGGATGCATTAACCGCTTCACTCTCTATCATGAAACTAAGAGTAGCTAGAGATCAGTCCTAAAGCATCGACCTACATTTCAAAAGTGAGAAGCCCATGCATATTATGCTCATGTGTCTAACCAAAGCGTTCACAAGACCTAGAGTTTCGTCAATGTCTTCACCTGTCAGGACAATATCATCTGCGTACACTAAGTCAACCATATACACTTTTGTGAGCAGATAAATCCCTTTGAATTTAGACGTACCCAGTGCTATGTCTATTAGTATGTCTGTAATGAAACTATTCAGAAATGGTTTCAGCGGGCGTCCCTGGTGGACAGCACTAGTTGTCATCATCTTAAATGGAAGCTCTCCATCAGCACTTACAAGGGTGTTTAAGTTCAAATGGAGAGCTTTGACAAGTGTTACATACTTGCATACTTTGTCCGTACTCTCTTTATACCCAAACACTGCCACACTGCTTCACAGTCGGCGGAGTCGAATGCCACCTTTGAGTCAATAAATATGGCAACAGTCGACCGTCATTAATTATACCTGTGTCCTACAATCAACCGAAGGGGAAAAGTGTAATCGATGGACCATCCTGCAGCTCCGAACCCTGCCTGATCCTCTCGACTTTGCTTTTACTAAGCCCCAGTAAGGTATCAGATATATGTGAACCCCAGGATGCTGAACACGATGCTAGTCAGACTGACTTCATTATGGTGCTCACAAGAAAACTTCTCTTCCTTCTTACGAACTCTAATGATCACTGAAGTAGACCAGTTTGATGGAATTACCTCTGATTTTCATACACTACCTAGTGTTTCTGTTACTATTCTCAGTAACTTCCTGCCTCCATTCTCAAAAGCATCTGGTGGCAGACTGTCAGGTCCTACTGCTTAGGATCGTTTCAGGTTTGAAACAGTCTTCTCAAATTCATGGAGAGTTGGAAGACTGATATCTAAGTCCCATTCAAGCTTGGGCCAGATACTAGACAAATGAAGCATTACTGCGTCCAGCTGAACTGTCTCAAAGTTTTCCATTCAACGTTACAACTGCCTGTCCTGTCAGTAATAGTTTCCTATCATCTTCTTTTCGCCAGTGTCATTTATAAGCTTGAATAATTGCCGGTCATTACAAAGTGTTGAGACCTGATCGGCCTCTCTCATTTTCAGCACAACGCTACTCGCCATCATTATGAAAAACCTTAATCACTTTGTATTTCAGCTGCTTTCACCCTTTATTAGGGTCGAAGTCATCTTGAATGATTCTTCTTACATCAATCACTTTGGAAAAACTTGCAGAATTTCACTGATTTTTGCTAAGCTTTGGATGTAGACTGCCAACTGTCTTTACTGCTGTTTCTACAGAGGACTGATTAGCAACTCATGTCCCCAGGATGAAATTTGCCTCCATATTCAGATAGATGATTAATTATCTCCTCCCCATACATACACTTGAAGTTCTCATTTCCCAATCGACTACACACAGGTTTCATTTTCGTCTGTTTTCTGTTACTTGTGAGACGCAAATAAAAACGAACCCATAATAACCAGTAACAGGAGTCCAAATGGGTATTCAAGAAAGAGTGACAATCCCCCAACGATTCTGTCCAGCAACGTCTTATGAAAATGTGGTCTATCTGCGTCGATGTGAAGCCGATAGTGGGGTGTTATGAGAATAGGAATGACGTTTCAATGGTTTGGATCGCCAGTAATGGTCGCAGCGTGAAAGGTTAGGGAATATCGAGAACTCAAGCTACTGAAAGGTTTTCATGGTGGGACTTCTTATTGACATGGTATGATAACATGATGAAATATAAGATTGGCCAATAAGCTGATATGGAGATTCACACGGGTGTCGTTCTTAAACACACTGTGTAGTCTCAAAAACAACACAGTATCCTGCCTAAAGTTTCTCCCTTGCACCTTCAACCTATGCCCAAATGTCAAAAGTCAGTCCTCCCTCTTCAAAGCACTATCCTACTGCCATCATCATCATCAACAACAAACAAACTACTAAAAGTTACACTAAACAAAATTTGAATTTATAATATTTAATAACCTGACATCACTGTGAATTTGAAGACGATCAAACTTTTACGGACTTCCGAAGCATTGGTCACTGGGACACTCTTACTGAGTGGTTATAAGGAAAAATTGTTTTCACTCCAGTGTGATGTGATCGTTGATACTCCTCATAGTTTTGTGTTGGACAAATATCAAAGCAACCAAAAGCGAGATGTTCCGTCTGACATGGCTTCCGTTCTCAGGCGGGACATCAGTTCCATTAAGGTTGCAGATACACGCTACTGAAGAGTACCAACAAGTCCAAAATCTAAGTCCAGGGCTTCCTGCTGATTGCTTCCATTCAACTAACATCTCTGTCAGTGCATCACGATGGTGAGTCTTCTAGCCCGGTAACAACATTGCAAAACGATCGATAGAATTTGATCAGCACATAGGACAAGACAAAATGAAGTTGGTTACCTCCTAGTGACCAGTTAGGGCCTATCTGCAACTTCACAGACTGGTCTTTATTCAATAAACTAACGATTTAAGTTAAAAAGATTATCTGGACTATTGGGGGATCGGAGTCGGAAGGCGAGAGATTCGAACCACCCACTTACTTGGGGAGTTGCATCGCCCCGAATAGACTAGATAATGATGCAATCTTAGCTCAGATACACAAGGTTCATGCGGCATTTTCCTACTCTCTTCACCTCTGGAGTGGACTGGTTGGGTATCCGACTACTTGTTAATGAACGAGTATATCGCCTTGCAGTCCGTTCTATCCCGTTATACGGCTGTGTGACATGACCGTTAAAAGTGAAAGACATGAAGAGACTACAGATTGTTAACCATATAAGCTTTCTTAACATCACTCATGTATGATGGGATCCCTGTGTCAGCAATATTGAGGTCAGGCGAAAAGTACCAGATAAGACAGGGAAGTCGTTCGATGAGGTTGTGAATCTCCAGTGACTGAGTTGGCTTGCATATACACTGGGCATGCCCAACTACCACTTTCCTCGACGTGTAATGTTAACAGAAGTAGGATTAAGTTGGAAGAGGGTACATGGTGGTCAGAACAAGACGTGGTACGAGTGCATGGATTCTCCGACTGTTGGTGTGAGGTGTGTAAGGAGGTGTAGACTGTCTGGCTCGGCTCCTCAAGACGATCGGAATCAATGGTTTAATGGTCTTGTGACACATCTGAAAATTGGTTACAATGGCGCAGACGAACTTAATCCATGACATCTTTTAAGGCTTGAACATTTGTGCTAACCTTGATCTTAAAACTAGTTAGTTTTTCGCACACTTTCGTCGTCTTTAATATCACTATTTTTAAAATTAAATTGTTCTTTCGATACTTATGTAAAGTGTGGGAAATTGAACCGATACACTTGTATGCGACTTTCTACGCTAGTTTTGTCT